AGTAGTAGTAGTAGTAGTAGTAGTAGTAGTCGTAGTCGTAGTAGTAGTAGTAGTAGTAGTAGTAGTAGTAGTAGTAGTAGTAGTAGTAATAGTGGTTGAGGAGGTTGAGGAGGTTGAGGAGGAGGAGGAGGAGGACGAGGAGGAGGAGGAAGAGAAGGAGCAGGAGGAGGAGGAGTAGAACGACGAGGACGGGGATGAGGAGGAGGAGGAGGAGGAGGAGGAGGAGGAAGTGGAGGACGAGGAGGAGGAGGAGAAGGACCTCCCTGTCCTCCTCGCTTCTGCCCTTCTTTCCCTCTCCTCCCTCTCCCTTCCCTCTCCACTCGCCCTCGTTTTCGGCAGCGCCTGGCGCCCCCTCTCCCTCCGCGCGCTCGCGGCAGGTGCGGCGTCTGTGGTGCCCTCGGCCACCTCGGCTTCGAGTGCCCCGAGACAGAGGATGGGGAGGGAGAGCGGCGGACCCACGGGGCAGTGCCAAGGGTGGGGGTTCACACTGGGGGGTCACCACCTCCCTGTCTTAATCGAGGATCGCGGATCAGAGGGAGGACAACTACCAATGCTGCTACCCTTCTGTCGTCGCCACAGCTGGATTCGCCTCGAGATCCTGGTCAGAACGCGCCCCAGGCGAGGTCCGTGGAGTAGCGGTATCTGTAGATTTTTGCTCTACCAGCGGGAAGAGGAGAAGGAGGAGGAGGAGCAGCAGGAGGAGGAGGAGGAGGAGGAGGAGGAGGGAGGAGGAGGAAGGAGGAGGAGGAGGAGGAGGAGGAGGAGGAGGGAAGGAGGAGGAGAAGGAGGATGAGGAGCAGGAGGAGGAGGAGGAGGAGGAGGAGGAGGAGGAGGAGGAGGAGCAGGACGGGGAGGAGGAGGAGGCGCGTGCGCCCGAGCCCGCCCCCCGCCGTGCAGGGCGAACGGGTGGCGCCAGGCGCGGCGCCAGGCCACGGCGGACTCGGCGCCCGCGGGCGGGGCCTCGCCGCAGCCACGCCGCGAACTGCCTGCGAGAGGGCGACGGGCCCAGCCAGGCTTAAGTGGGGCCTGTCCCTCTACAGGGGGAAAATTCAAAAATAGTCAAAACATGATATTGGGATTATTTTTTGACTATTTTGGAATATTTTCATGGTTTTTTGGGGGTATTTTGAAATTTTCGTGCAAATTTTGCTCCTGCAGGGGGACAGGCCCGACTTACAGCCAGGCCCCAGGTTTCACATCCCCATCAGGACCGTACCCCCCATGCTCTTCTTTGGTTTTCTCTCCCTCGCAAGTCACGCCCACTGGTCCTCCAAGGTCGGGGTTCGTGGCAATAACAGGTTTCCCAGCCCCATCAGGGCCGTACCCGCCGACTGGGTGGTGACAGCCGCGACCACCATCAGTGAAGCCAAAAGGAGACTCGGAGAGAGACAGCGCGGTCTGGGATAATCCACGCAGACAAGGCAGACGTCAGATGGATATGGTAACAGATTTTGGGAAGAGACCACGTCGAGCGTACGGCTAGAAGAGTGACGACGGGCACCAGCAGCTGAACCACCATAAGCACGGCCGTCAAGATGAATGACCATGAAGCGGACTCCAGCCCCTTTCACTCCAGATTGCCGACGCCCCAGAGTTCGTGCCAAACCTAGTCGCGAACATAATCCGGGCCATCGACTCCAGCGCCGGCTTGCTCGTCTAAGTACAATCCCAACGACGCCCGGCCCGATTCGCTGCACTACGCTCAGCTCGACGCCCGTGCCCTCCCCTACGCCTGCCCCCGCGACCCCCTGACTCACGACCTCGCGCCTGGCGGCCTCCACGACGACCCCTAGCGACCCCCGCCCGCGCCCTTGGAGCCTTGCGGCCAGGCGCCGCTGTGCTTCGCTAGTAGTAGTAGTAGTAGTAGTAGTAGTAGTAGTAGTAGTAGTAGTAGTAGTAGTAGTAGTAGTAGTAGGAGGAGTAGTTGTAGTAGTAGTAGTAGTAGTAGTAGTAGTAGTAGTAGTAGTAGTAGTAGTAGTAGTAGTAGTCGTCGGGGCACTCGAAGCCGTGGTGGCCGAGGGCACCACAGACGCCGCACCTGCCGCGAGCGCGCGGAAGGGAGAGGGGGTTCAGGCGCTGCAGAAACGAGCAGTCATCTTGATATGAAGATGTAAGGAGAGGGAAGGAGAGGTAAATAAGGCAGAATCGAGGAGGACGGGAGGTCCTTCGCCTCCTCCTCCTCGTCCTCCACTTCCCTCCTCCTCCTCCTCCTCCCTTCCTCCTCATCATCCTCGTCCTCGTCTTTCTACTCCTCACCTCCTGCTCTTCTCTTCCTCCTCCTCCTCGTCCTCTCCTCCTCCTCACCTCCTCAACCTCCTCAACCACTTTTTACTACTATTACTACTACTAATACTACTATTACTACTACTTACTACTACTACTACTACTACTACTACTACTACTACACTTACTACTACTACTACTCACCACTACTACCACTACTAACCACTAACTAACCACTACTACTACTACTACTACTAAAACTGCTACGACTACTACTACTACTACCTAACTACTACTACTACTACTAACTCCTACTACTACTTACTACTACTACTACGACGACGACGACGACGACGACGACGACGACGACGCCGACTACTACTATACTACTAATGCTACTATACTACTACTACTACCACCCACTACTACTACTACTACTACTACTGACTACTAATACTGCTACACTATAATACTACTACTACTGCTAGTACTACTACTACTAGTTACTACACTACTACTGTTACTACTACTACTACTACTACTACTACTACTACTATACTACTACTACTACTCTACTACTACTACGGTGTAGACTGGACTGGAGGGGTGTGAACTTTACTACTTTCTACTCTACTATACTCTACTACTACTACTAGCGACTACGACTAGCGACGACGACGACTGACGACGACTACTACGACTACTACTACTATTACACTACTACTACTAATTACTCCTACTATTATTACTACTACTACTACTACTACTACTACTACTAGTACTACTACTACTACTACTACTACTACTACTACTACTACTACTGCCATCAATTCCACCACCACCACAGCAGCAATTACCAGTAGTACTACTAATACCACTGCGGCCACTACTGCTAATACTACTGCTACTACTACTACTAGTACTAGTACCAGTACTACTACTACTACTACTACTTCTACCACTATTATGACGACCAAGACTACGATTACTGCCGGTAGCGCTGCTGCGACGAATTCCTATTACTACAGCCACTCAGGCTACTACTACTACTACTACTACTACTACTACTACTACTATTGCTACTCTCATTGGACTAGTACGATTTCTATTACCAACACCGCTGCTATCACAACTGCTACCACCACCACCATTACCACAACAACAACTATTATCACTAGAACCACTACCAATACTACTAGTACTACTACTATTTCTACTACTCGAATTTCTACGACTACTACTACTACTACTAAGGCTACTACTCGTACGACTACTACTACTACTACTACTACAGCTACTACGACCACTACTACTACTACTACTACTACTACTACTACTGCTACTACTACTACTACTACTACTACTACTAGTACTACCGATCGTACTAGTACTCGTAGTATTACTACTGTTATCGTTCATCCAACTACGACTACTACGATGCGGAGTAGAGCCACGACTGTCACTGCCGGTAGCAGTATTGCGACGCATGGTAATATTATTGCTAGTGCTACTGCTACTACTACTGCTACTACTAGCATTACTATCACTACTACTACTACTACTACTACTACTACTACCACTAGTCATCTTGTTTGGACTCGTACGACTACTACTGCCACCACCACTGTTTCCTACTACTACCACTACTGCTACTAGTGCTACCACCACGACCACCACTACCCGACTGCTACTACTACTACTACTACTACTACTACTACTTCTACTACTACTACTACTACTACTACTACTACTACTCCTACGACGGCAGCGGGTAAGACTATTATTAGTATCTTGCCTATTGTACTACTACTCCTATTTGCATTATTACGACTGCTACTACCACCACATGCTAGCACGACCACCAGCACTACCACAACAGGAAGCATGTCTAAACTAACTCATACCACTATTAAAACTACGACCCACACCACTACTAGAACTACTACTGCTGCTGCGACTACTACTATCATTCTTACCAGCACTACCATTACCATTATTATTGGCTATGATGACCACTCGTTTTTTACCATTACTACATTTTGTGCTACTGTTCCTATCAGCCTCACGTCTACTCAGATTCGTGATATGGTTAATTGTAATACTATTGGTATGACTGCGACTTCGACTGCTACTGTTTCGGCCACTACTACTACGACTACTTCTACTACTCCTCTTATTTCTGCGACTATTACTTTTACTAGTATTATTTCGACGGCCACTACTACTACTACTACTACTACTACTACTACTACTACTATTATTATTACTACTACTACTACTACTACTACTACTACAACTACTTCTACTGCTGCTGCTGCAACTATTTCTACTACTATTACTATTGCTACTACTACTACTACTACTACTACTACTACTGCTGCTACTACGACTACTACTACTACTACTATTACTACTACTACTACTACTACTACTACTACTGCTACTACTACTACTACTAGTACTAGTACTAGTACTAGTACTAGTACTATTACTTCTACTGGTACTACTATTTCTCTGACTGGTACTATTCGTACTACGGCTATCTGCGATTCCAATTCACCAGGAAGTGCAATGTACGAGGCTTCGTGTCCCTGTCACCCCTCCATGGAGGCCCGGCCAGGGCGAGGAGGGTACCGAAACACTACACTATTTTGCATGGTTTCGTGCCCATTCCACCCTTCCAGTGGGGCCCCGCCAGAGCGAGGAGGGTCTTGTAACACTATACTATTTACACGGCTTCGTGCCCCTCCCACCTCTCCAGGGAGGCCCCGCCAGAGCGAGGATGGTACCGTCACACCGTGCTATTTACACGGGTTCGTGCCCCTCCCACCTCTCCAGGGATGCCCCGCCAGAGTGAGGAGGGTATCGGAGCACCAAACTATTCACACTGTTGCATCCCCCTCCCACTTTGCCAGGGAGGCCCCGCCAGAGTGAGGAGGGTTTCGGAGCACCGTACTATTTACACTGTTTCGTGCCTCTCCCGCTCCTCCAGGGAGGCCCCGCCAAAGCGAGGAGGATATTGGAACACCACACTATTTACACGGTTTCACGCCTCCCCCCCCTAGGGAGGCACCGCCAAAGCGAGGAGGGTATCGAAACACCACACTATTTTGCATGGTTTCGTGCCCATTCCACCCTTCCAGTGGGGCCCCGCGAGAGCGAGGAGGGTATCGTACCACTATACTATTTACACGGCTTCGTGCCCCTCC